CGGATACGGGCGATATCAACAGACTATATTAAAAACCTATTTAATTCATTTCGGGATTCTGTATAATTTGAATTCGTTCCGTTGTAAAATACGCTAATGTACTTGTACACGTGAACAACTACACGTGCAAGCTGATTTTTCGAGTACACGGTTTTACAGATTCAAATGTTAAGTTCACGCGAATACGTGAAATAGATAGAGAGTTTTTACTATAAACGCTCGGCACGCCTTCCTTGTGAAAAACCTCAACAATCCGGAAACAATTCTTAACTGAGTATTTATATGGTATTTTCTGTATGCATCCGCCAATTAATGAAAGCCTCGCGTCGTCGGCGGAACGTAGAAACGAAACGTGTGACGAAATTATAACTAGACGACTGACTGTAAACGTAAAGACACGCCACAACCCGCGTGTTGCACATTAATAGGACGCGTGGGATACCACGTACGCAACACGATTTGTAAAGTTTAATTTTATTCATTTTGATTTATGTTCAGTTTATATATCGCTTTATATTTCGAATGTCGAGTGTAATGTAGACAAACGAGTATTCAGTGGATATCATATTGCATTACGGATTATCGGACAAGTTCATTGCACACTGCAGTGATCCGGGAAAAGGAAATCTTTTCTCGTCGGGAATGTTCTAGTTTTGATGACCAAAGTGTACTTGCAATAAATTATGACGTAAGACCAACAAGTGGTAAATGCGAAAAAGACCCGCTCAACTTTGTAATTCAAAACACCGTAATAGCGCTGAGCACCAAATCCGTTTAATCCGGACCGTTGCTTTCGGTCCGCATTATGAATATCACAGTCCGGATTGTTCCGATAAGCATAACGTATTAGGCACCGTTTAAATCCAAAATCATAACCGTCAATTGCTTAGACTGTTAAGGAACAATAATTTATCTGCACGCACTGAAAAAGTATAAGAGCACGGGGGGAGGGGGGGAGTCCGCGACCGCGAGTATTAGAAAGAAGAGTGAAACGAGACGGCGATCCGATTCGGCGGTCGCGGCAGCAGCGCGTGACGTACGCGCGCGCGGTGCGGCGACGGGGAGTGTTACGGCGCGACGCGTTTGAAACCGCAAAGGCGTAACGGGATAAAAGGCGACGGGAGGACGTTACGCGATCGCGTCGGAGTAACGCGACGAATGCGAACGCAACGGCGATGCGGCGGCGGAGACGCGAAAACGCGCGGTCGGTGCACAAATACAAAGGAAAAACGACAACGGCGACGACGACGACGACACGTCGTAACCAGAGACGCGGCCGCATAAATCACCGGTTCTCCATTAAAACGGAATTACCGTCTCGGCGTTGCGCGGCGACGACGCCGTTTCGGCGTTTTCGGCTACGGCGTACGCACCGCCGGGCGAACGTCACAATGCCCGCGGGCACGCACACCTCCGATTGTGACGCGGTGTTTATTGTGCGCCGCGCGTCGCACAATGGCCGCGGACGCGAATATTTAACGTCGGCGGTGACCGGGTCGCGGCGGCGCGGATTCCCTCCCGGCCGCGGCGGCAGCTGTCGCGCTGCAGCTTACACGCGTGGAGTGCCTACGACAATAATGTCATTGTAGTGGTGAAGTCGAGTGTCGTAGAGAGTAGCGGGGGGGGGGAAAGAAGAGAAACAAAAACCGGAAAAAAAAAAAAATGATAAATAAATAATAACCGTACATCGGGCGCGTACAAGCGTCACCGGGGACGGCGGACCCGCGCGCACATTCGCGTCCCCTCGTCGTCGTCGTCGTCGTCGTCGTCGCCGCCGCCGCTCACCCGTCACTGTTATTATCGTTATCGTTATTATATTGTACCTAATAGCGTAACAACGATAATAGTATCGTCGCTGCAGCGGTGCGCGTATAAAGAAAAAATTAACCATTAATATGACACCGGTATGGGAGGGGCGGGCACAATGGATTAAGTGACTCCATTCACGGCCGCCGCCTATTTAGCCCGCACCGTCGAGCCCGCGGAGTATATAATATAATAATAATATACGGTGTTATAATAATAACAATAATGATGATGATGATAATAACGATAGTATAATGGGCGCATACGCGCGCGCACGATATTATACGCGATGAATTTATTGCGCGATAATAATAATAATAAAAAAAAAATACGAGTTCGACGCAGTGGGAAAAAAAATAAATTTTTTTCTCCCCGTCGTCATCGTCGTCGTCTCTCTCTCTCTCTCTCTCTCTTTCTACACTGCACACGCGAATAAACATAAAAACACAACGCGCTTTTATAATATTATTAGGCAAGGTACCGTTGTGTACCGACCAGCCGCGCCGCTCGTTCGTTTGCCGTCACGGGCCCGTACGCGTTTCGGACGCGGTCTCTCGACGTCCCCGACGCGGCGGCCGACCGGAACTAATTCGCGCGAGCTCCTCTGTCGGTAGACGGGGCGTACGGTTTTCGAACGTTTAGAATTCGGACCGCGGGGGACCCTCCCCGACGCCGCGGGATCTCCCGCCGTATCGCGACGAGATAAACGGATCCTGTCCTGGCTCTCTTCGATGGTCTTGTTGCAGCTGCCGTCTTGTACGGTTCCTTTGATCCGGCGCGAGCTGTGCTTCTGGTTGTTCTCATTTTGGCCTGCCTTGTCTCGGGAGGTCTCATGTCTATGTTCTCTAGATTAAGTAAATCAGCGACATCGATGTCTACGGCGGGGTCTTCCTGGTCTTCCCGTCGGTAGACGGGCGTACGGTTTTCGAACGTTTAGAATTCGGACCGCGGGGGACCCTCCCCGACGCCGCGGGATCTTCCGTCGTATCGCGACGAGATAAATGCGCCCGATACGCAATGTAATAACTAGCTACGGTGTAACGCTCTGCGAATCGCATTTTTTTTCCCCCCCGAAAGACCCAAAGCGGTTGCATCCGAGTTAACCCGTCCCGATAACCTTTTTTCATACCGATTTCGTGCCAGCGAAAAAAAAAATAAGGGGTACACACCGATTCCGTCCGGAGTGAAAAAAAAGGTGCATACCGATTCCGTGCCGATTAAAAATGTTCTTATCAATGTTAAAATACATAAATGTTAAGTACAAACAATTCAAATGTAGTATACATTTTCAAAAATAAAAAATTGGTTATTGGATTAAATTTATATGATGTAGAAAAATAGTAATTTATATGAACAGTTTTCTTATCGATGCCTCGATAAAATACAGAACAAATTAAAATAATATTAAAATATTAATGTATTCAAATTCGATTATTTAGTGCGATAACCGAAAACAATATTATCTTTATTTCTGAATAATATAAAGTTGTTACCGTAGTCGTAAATTGTATACTATATTTATATAATGTAGAAAATGCAAAACGGGACGGAACTCGTATATCTAAATAAACAACACCGGGAGACGGAATTAGTGTATCCTCAAATTCAAATTTTACATTTGGAACGGAACTCAGATGCAGCCCCTAAAGCAACGCTATCCAAGTACAAAGTTCGTTTCACGTATCAAAGAATTAATATAGGAAACTTTTATTTTGCATTTTTTTACATTTTAAGTATATTTTTAGGTTTTTAAGGTGTTGTTGACGTTTTAGTGCATTTAGAGGTTTTTAAGGCGTTTTCGCATATTTTTACAAACACTTAAGTGTTATCAGAAAATTTGATACAATTTATTTGGATTCCCTCCTAAAAGTAAAATAAATTCATATTTCTGTTTTTAAAATGTATTAGAGGTATAGATTTACCGATTGCACCGGATAAACACGATGCTGGCTGCAATAAAGTTAAGCTATTCATCCAGTTCTAATGTAATCGTATTTATAGGATGTTGTGTTTAGTAAATTAACATATACCTTATAAAAAAAAAAAATTGTTTTTTTCAACGTTCAAAATAATTTTTAAAGTATTTTTTTTTTTAAATTCAAATGCATTAAATTGTTTATTTCTAAGGCGTTTTTCTTGTTTTTTAGAGAATTTAAATCCGCACCGTAATAATAACGTTATAAACGTATGACGATATCGCGTGTGCGTGATGGTGCATCGGCACATCGCATCGCGCGCGGCCATTTTGTTATCCGCGTGACCCCCTCGCCGCTCCCTATACAGGGTGTTTCATTTAAATGGAACACTCGAGGATACAACGAGATTGGAGCAGCCTATTTGCGCCCATCACACTTTTTTTTTTACAAAAGCCTATTCGCGCGTGAACTCATAATTTGCGTCCGAAATATGTTCAATAAAAAAGCGTTGAAACCACGCAACCTTGCCGACCTGTACGTTGGAATACGGTGCAATACTATTACGCACTAACATTTTATCACACTGCTTTCTAGATTTTACGTTACACCCTTATCGATATATCGGTCGATTTAATTTCGATTGCACTTCATGGCAGTTCTCTCTGTGAATACGCTGTGCAAGGTTATATAGATTACAAACGCAAGTTTCACGTGTTAAAAAAAGGGCGGCAACGTTGTATGCGAAATCGGCGCATACATCGGCAGGTACTAATAAATATATAACCATACATAATAATAAACGAAAGATAACGTACTCGGGCGCGCGTCTGTAAACATCTCTCGGAGCGCGAATGGGCTGTACGAGCCGATAAGATGACGAGTAAACTTATCTAAATATCATCGAAAAATGATTTAAATAGTTAACCATAGCTTCTAAATAAATAATATCGAGTAATAATAATATTTTGAACTATTTGAAGCGAGTCAAGGTGACTGATGGGAGTTCCAATATGACAGTGTCGTATATGGCCGTACCAACGCTGACAGTGTAGTGAATTGCATCACGTTATTTATATCACGACGATTGTTCGTGTAACACATTTAAAAGTTGCTTATAATTATATCATCTCCTTAAACTATTCCGAAATTCCAAAATGTAATGTGATATGTTTGTTTTTGTCGTCAATCTCTCAATTGGTCGGTCCCTTGAATCTCAATAACTTCCCACGTCCATGTTTTTCCTAATATGTGAAATGTATTCCGTTCTTGGTCTTTCACTTCCAGTTTTGCCATCCTTCAATCATCAGCTTCGGCAAACCATCATGGCGCAGTGGATGTCTTATCATATTATCCCTTCTTTTAATTATGATTTTCGAAATTTTTCCTTTTTCTTCAGTTATTCTCAAAACCTTTTCGTTTGTTACTCTGTCGCTCCATATAATCTTGAGCATCTTTCTGTAACATCACATTTCAAAAAGCTTCTAATTTTTCCTTCTCAGTTGCACTTACTCTCCAGATTAATATAAAATATAATTTTCCATTATTAGAACTTGATCATGACTTACACTGTTCATTTAAAAGCATGCCTACAACATCTTATAACTGAAAGTGTGAATAACGGTTGCACTGCTTGTATGCACGCTACGCCACTGGCTCAGTGGGGACTTTTACAAACCCCTCTTGCCATTTCGGCCATTCAAATGTTTTTACGGGTACAGTACGCGCATTTATTATTATAGATACACGATAATGTAATAAAATAGTTCATTATACGAGTAGGTATATGCTATTATTATCGCAGTCCAATAATTGGAAAACGAGAAATAATAACTTTGTAATTATAAAGTTGACAAAAATAAAAAACCAATTAATTAATTTACTTTATCGATAATATTATAATTATATAATAAATTAGTGTCAACGGATTATAATAACGTTAATATAAATTAATAATTATGCGCATTACGACTGTATAGGATCATTATATTATATAAAGCTAGCTATCGTTAATCGTTATGATAAAACTACAATTAAAAAATAGTCGGACATACTTTGCAACGTGGATGAGGGGGTCACTGTCCTAGTCGTCGGATAATAGGACAGTTTAATTAGCTTACACACCGAAAGTCCGAAATCAACGATCAATCGTTACGATATAAAAAAAAAATAAATAAAGAAAGAAAGTGAAAATACCGATGTTAGTGATATTTATGATGAGCACAGTTATATGACCTTATGAAAATATACGTTTTACAGTGAAACATCGCGTTTAAATGGTTTCTAATATTTTACCTAATTACTATGTTTCATATCGACATGACGTTTCCGTTCGATATACGTGGACGGTAACGAAAGTTAATCTGGAACGTGTATCACAAGAAAATAGAAGAAGAAAAAAAAAACGGACATACTTCGCACGACGGGTGGGCCACTATTGTAGATGAGAAGTTGGGAAGCCATGCAGAGGGGGAAAGTTGATCATGTACGTCTTTACGCGACCATCGATCGTCGTTTACGAAAAACGATTCCGAGCGGAGTTTTTTGAAAGATCGTAATGTTAACGGTTTGAAAATAATACGTTTCGTACATTTTCCCGGGTTTTCTCCATTATTATGAAATCTGCTCGGCCTTCTACTCAAAGTACCGCCCCAGTCAGATTTCCTTTTTCAGATAAAGTGCTACGCTTGAAAATCGGAGCAAAATTTCTGTAGTTGAAAAGTTGTTCACAAAAAAAAAAGCAAATAATAATCATCATTGTAAAACTAATACATTTCTCGATCCGCTCAGAATAGTTTTGGATTCTGAGCGGAACTGGGTAAAAAGTGCAGGTATTAGGGTAATAGTATAATTGTAATTTTTTTTTCCATCGTAAATTTTAGCCAAAATATTATCCAGCGTATTTTAACACTTTACAGAGCACATTATAAGATACATTCAAATTTTGTTTAGTGCATCAATGTTTTTCTTTTATGAACAATAATTGTAGTGTGCGAGCGGCTTGTCCATTCTGTGATACTATGTACGCCGAAAGTCTTTTCCTGGAAGAGAAAAAAACACGTTTTAGCATTTCGAAACGAATTCAATAATAATAATAACATTTGCCGCGTTTGGTTCGAAAACTACGTTGTCGATAACATTAAAATAATATAAAAATATATAGCATTATGTAACAATCGAACAGTGTTAGAATACACAAGCACCCAGGTAGGTGTTGTACGTGTTGTAGAAAATTGTTGTTTTCTTTTTTTAATCGCTTCCAGAATTTTAATGTGTTATCTAACGAAGACCGTTAATGGACGTTTTCGAACATAACACAATAATCATTGTAATATTATTTGAACGGTCGGAAGCGTATATACGTCTTATGCGGTATTATAGTATACGCTAAAGGTCAAATGTCACGGCCGATCGTTGCGTTTTTTATTATTTTTTTTTTCTTCTGTTAAATACCGTTCCAATCAATTATTTCAAAATTAATTACGTAAACGTGTACCGTATGTACATAGGTAGGCGTACGATTAAATAACAATTCATAATGAGAAACGCATCATATTATTATTATTTTCGAAACGGTATATTTTCCCCGATAGTATCGATAATGATATTACCTATGTACAGTACATAGTGTTGTATTCATTTGGATCGAAATCAAACGTTTAAATTTACGGTTTGTTGTTCGATTAGGCGGGTATTATTTTACGCGTGACTCTCCGGCCGAAACGACGGTTGTGAAATCGTACGAAACGCTATAGTTACGCGCACAGTCATTGTGAAATATCAAACAAATAATATCATTCACAATATTATTCGTTATTGTTTGTTGTTATGATTTTTTTTTTTTTGTTTTCGTGTTCGTAACTCGACTTAATGCACTCGGTGGCGTCGCAGGGGACGTAGCAAATAAAAATCATGGCTAAACCATAAATTCGTCTTCTCTACCCCAATTGACTGTGGGAATCGGTTATTTAAAAGCCGGATCCTAAAAAATGCAAATTTCTAATCAATACATGTCACGGTTTTCCTCGTAACTTGGCTGAAATATATATGCATTTCGACATTAGATTACTCATATTTGTTTGCATTTTAAGCCATTGTGGGGGGAATATAACCCCTAACCTTTCCCCCTCTTTGTGCACGCCACTGATTATACATTTATATATCTACGCTTAATAATTAGTACTTTTGTCGTGCACTTCTTATCAGACTATTTATCAGTAATAATATTTGATTGTTTGGATCCAAACGATTTAATTGTGTAATTATTAAAAACACACGTAGGTACTATACTTTTGAACAATCATATTATATTAAAATATGAGTATTTACGTACTAATAAATTTGACTATTACTAAATAAGAGACTCAAATGAGATTTTTCGCAATAAAATCTCATATTCATAAATTATTAAATAACTAAATGGATTTGGGCACGTCGTTCCAGTGATAATGTCGTGTTCTTTCGTTTTCGTCTTTACGCCGAATCATATTCGCTTCGATAAAAAAACGGGTTTTCAACAAGAGTATTTTATGCTTAAAATCCCCTCAAGAGGGCGCCACAATAACATTCGCCGTCTCTGTCTGTCTGACCGGGTCACATAGCAAAACGTGTGTTTTCATATTTCCAATAGTACTCTGCAGGATCGAATACGTTTGAATAAATATCGTTTCATCGAATTTAAGATGAAAACATTGCCTATATGGTTTCAAACAGAGACCTTTTGTCATAATCGATATATAATTTTCTATTAAATAAAAAAAAAAAAAATAATTTCTTTTTAAAAATGTCAAATGTGAATAGATTGTTTTGGAAACAAACAAATAAGCAAATTTGAAAACATAGCAAATATAGTTGTTTTTTTTAATTCGGTGAAAAGTTACCGAGTATTATTGAAAGTACGAAAACATATATTTGCTGCATCGTCCGTTAGGTAAACGGAGACGGCAAATTGGCTGAGAACCATTCGCAACCTGTTTTTTCGCTCAAAAACATACTTTACAACTCGTAATGCCTCGTACAGTGGTCCGGTTCAAATCATTTTATTTTTTTTATTAGAATAAGTAAACCTTCTACGAGGCACACGAGTATCTTGAGTAGTTGAGTATATAGGGCAATGAAATAATAATTAACATGTAATCATTTTTTAAACTGATTTTAAACATATAGAACCAATAATATTGTGTTTAATAATATACTTAGTTTAAACATTATAGACAGGCATATTATATTTGTCAGTTTAATGAACATTCCGAACGAAAATAATAAATTCATTAAAATGCAATAATAATTTCTCGTTCGTGGCAAATGAACGTATTGATAATTATCGATTATTATCACTTATTATTGTGAAAAAATAAACAATTAGTACATAATTAAATAACAATATACACATATTTGTAAAATATTTCCCGTGAAATTAGGTATTGTTAGTTAAAATGCTAAACTAGCAAGAAAATAATTTAGAATTCAAAACAATTTCAATACTACGCCTCGTGTCGAGGTGATTTAGAAAATTATGTTACACATTTTTGGCCGATACTCGTAAGTTTTCTCAATTTCATAATAACGCAATAGATATCCGCATATTGTATATACTGTCTCCGTCTCCATTAAAACTGCACGGCGTAGCAAAATTGTGTGCTGTTAGTTTCAATATTAAAGGGAACTGACTGATAATTAATTGACTAATACCGCCAGAAAAATAAATAATATATTTTTTAAAGTTTTAAGATATTGAGCGTACGTGTCGTGCGTTCGTGACTGTCGGACCAGCACTTCGACCAGAAATCTTACTATACAATTAAAAACCTCATAAAAACTTTCTTTTAGTGTTTTCGGTGCATCGAGGAGGGCATTTTTTTTTTTTTTTTTTTTTGATTTTTCTTGTAGTTTCTGTACTAAAAGGGGAAAAAACTGGGAAAACGTACGCAATGACGATCTCTGTTGTTTTCGATTTATTTTTTTTCGTTGTTATTCAGTTATAAATCGTCGTAGAGACCGAGATTTTTCAATAAATACTTACTTTAGCACTTTTAATGTGCGGTGCAATTTCCGAGTCTCTCGAGAACATCACGCGCAATTACTGCATGAGATATATTTGGACACGCACTGAACTATAATAACAATTGCATACCAAATATAGAGCTGGGGTCCCAGAGGACTCTATGTCCAAACTCGGCATGTATAAGACGCAGATAAAGCCTGAACTTTTGAACGCATGACAACATAATACTGTATTTAGATCTTTCTATAGCGGTGGCGTTGCGTGATTTTTTCCTACTTCATTCTAAGCGGTGTACATCTTCGATGTAAAATCCATCTGGAGACCTAAACTCTACTAAGAGCCACATAGTATCGCTCGTTTACAAATGGCTTTGATCCTATAGGTACACGACAGAAATCTACAGTACTGTCCTGCATTCTATGTACCGTCGAAGCCCGAGATAAACCTTTG